ATTATGAAATCAGTTGCACGTGCAGAATAGGGAGAGTGTGCATTTAGAGAGAGTGCATTTAGAGAGAGTTGACTGTAATTGATAAGTAACTTTCAAGTCCGTGTCATGATATACTGAATCTGATTTTTGGTTATAAAATTAAAATTAGCACCGTTTTTTTCTCATTTTCGACTCTCCCCCCAAAATTATACATCGGTCAAATTGTGGGTTGCATTACCGTAAACATAACTTGTTTAAATAATAGGCTACTCAAAATACTCAGCTTTGCTATTACTAATTGTTTGTTGATAATTCTTATTGCTAACCAGTCCAGCATATTGTCTACTAGAAACCCCACAATTAATTCCATAACCCGAGGACGATCACTATGCAACCCACGCAAGAAGGCTTTCGAGAACATTACGCAAAGCACTCGGATGCAGGGCCTTGTTAAGAAAGAAAGACTAGCAATCAAAGTAGGAATTTTACCAATTATCAATAGCTGGGGAACTTCCAAAAAAAAAGAAAAATCTTCCGAGTGTGGAACTGAACATTTTCTTAAAAAATTTTTTGTGATTCCGTTTAGACGCAAAAAAAACTTGTAAATTGTCTTAATTGTTCAAGTCTAATCACATTATTATGCTATTACTCAATATAGACAATACAATACGCATGCTTGAGTTAATGTAGCCAACGAGACCTGTATTGCTCTACTTCCAAAGACAATGGCTACAATTAAAACAATACTTATTTTCTAATATGATATCAGAAAAAGTATATAATTACGCAACTATAAAATAAAAGCATATTAATAAGCACTTTCTCTTACTATTACCTGTTGAGCTTTATCTGACACATGGAAAATTAATTTAATATAAGAAACTATCATTAATATTTGTATACATAAACAAAACTGAATTAGAGCAGTCATATTTGTAATTTTTTATTAATCAAGAACATTGAAAATAATGGGTTTAATTGAAGCAAACCCATAACCAAGTAATAGTTTGTTTTAATGTTAAATTAAATACAAAAAAGAACATCTTGAAGCATCTTATACATAATAGAGAAAAAAAATCTTAAGCAGGTGGAGCATATTTATTGGGTGGGCAGTTCAAATGCATTGCGGTATAGCAATCACGATTCTAGACAGATAGTTTTTCTAGGAAGGAAATTTTACACAAAATGTCAAAAGTCTGTTTGTTGATTGTTGACTGTTTTAAACTGCGGAATACTAAAAGTATTGTCTAGCCTAAATCAACGCTTTTAAACTCGAGCTTCAAGAACCTATCAATTTGTAATTAGGTAAGATTATGTAAAAAAATTGCCCAGCAGTAGTCTATTTTACAATTAATTGACAGCACTAATATTTTACTAGCAGATGCAAAGTTATAGATTATGCTAATAGATGACCTGATTATTTGCTAATTGTTAACATAGTAACTTGCTCTCAAAGATTAAAAGGGACAATTTTTTTATTGATACAAGTCGAAATTACCTGATTCTACTTTTCGTTTAATATATAATACACAGAAGCCTTCACCACAACTTATTATTCTAATTTACCGCATCGAAGAAATTGAATAATGTTCCAAGCGTGCTATAGTATCTCTTGCAGAAAAGTCGGTAGAAAGAAGTGTTCAACTACTTCTTCATTCTTTATTACAGTTTTCTTTTGTTCTAGTCCCAAAATAATCACTATTATTAACTCGCGTAATAAAGCTCGGTAGAAATCTCTTTTTATTAGCAGTATTGGTCGCCGAGTGAAATTCCTTTATATAAATTCTACCGCACGTATAAACTTTGGTATGCAATGTGTCATCAAAATAATGGCAGTTAAAAAAATATAAACTGAAATTAAACAAACGCGTTTGTTTATACATTTTATTGGTTAATAAAAGACAAACTTTTAGTGTTTGTTTTCGCGTAAGCCCAGCCTCAATTATTTTACATTTTTGGCACGAGAATACTATTGACCAAGTAAAATATACAACAACGGGCATTCCTCTTTATCCCATTGAGAGTAAACATTATGTTGTGCGGAAGCGTGTTAACGGTATGTCATCTAAGAATATACAAACTTTCACTCGTTGTTCCTTGGTCTAATATTCTTCGGAATTCGATGTGACCATATGCGCCAAGAAGAATACTATGTGGGACTAACTGCAGCAAAGTGAATATATGGCAAATAACAATATTGTATCCTTAACAATATCAAAAAGTTTTATATTTAGGCTGAAAAAAAGCAAAAATAGAAAATAAAAGAAAAGAGAAAATAATTTTTAGAATTTACGAAAAAAACAAAAGAGATGATACTAAGGCATTTCCCCAATGATTATAGAGATAAACTTCCTGATTTGTACATAATAGTACAGTTGAGCTACTTATATTAATATTACAATGATAAGGTTTTTGAAAATGAACTCTCAGAATCACCAACGATACCATTATAAGAACCGTTTTTTAAAAGCTTATATCTTTTACGGGGCATGTACTAGCATTAAGCAAATCTAACCACAAGGTGATACTGTATATCAACCGAATTGATCATATTAGAAGCCTGTCGTAATATTTAACGTTGTTACGTCGACAAGAGATGCAAATACCGTCCGCAGTGTTTTGTTCTTGCTCAAATTGCATAAGCTTAGTAGTAGTCGACCACATCACGGTTGTATCGGCTCAGCGAACGAAAAAATATTTAGTGATGGTCTCTAGTTGTTTTGGTAAATTCTTTAAAAGTTGTCAAGTTTACGGTTCGGATAACGATTTCCGGACTTCCATTCCAACCAATCTTATTGGAAAAATCTTAATAGGGAGAGATTGCTCTCCCTTCCTATTTTAATTCGTTTCGGAGCTTTCAATCGCCTCCTTTCCAAGCTAGTTGCAAATCGAAAAACATGCGAACAATCAATCATATTAGCACAATTCTTGAAAGAAAATTGCGGTTTGGGATATCTGTAATTGCCGTCGCCCGCTTTGCCAAACTAACAATTTCAATATTATTTACTCTTCCAAAGGTCATATAGCACAATTTGCGAATAGCTAACTTTCTGATCTGCTTGTTTTCAATCCCAATTATAACTACGTTTATTCAAATTACCAAGAGTCGCAAGGAAAATACTTTACCAAATAAAAATATTCGCGTTACAGGTATCAAATATACACTAGTGGTGTTTCTTACACACATTATTGTTCAACTTTCTGACTCAGTCTCGAGACAGTACCTCTACAAAATGAATAAAGCGAATTGATTGCAACAGCGCTAACCTTTCTACCAATATTTCCATATATCCACCCGATGATTGGTATATTTTTGATAAGATCGGACACGCTCCACACGTCTTCATGACTGATAATCTTTCGTTCATCATCAAAAATAAACACGGTTGTGCTACGAAGAGATAACTTTTGCGATAAGGGGAAATGGTAGCTGAGAATAGCGTCAATGACAACAAGCTGTTTCGCTGCCATGTAACGGCGGGGTGAGACAGTTACGGCCAAAAACTGCGCCGTCACATCAGTCACGAGAGAGGAAAGAAGTTCAAATTGTAGATAAATATTTTCGTGTCCTTCAGCAATTGCTAACGGATCTTGGAACACTAGCGTAGACGATGCATTGATTGAATTATTCGTATTATTCGATAGATTTTAATCGCCCGTGATGATGTGTAACATTTAAATACTTACCAGCTGAGCTATCATAATATTTTTTAACGACACCCACTTTGTCCCCGTATTTTGAATATAAAGCGGCATACACTTCCAATGCGATGTCTTCTAAACTGGATTTAACGAGGGTTTCGTCGACCGGAGTGCTTCTACCACTTTCCGACGTTTTCCCATCCTCTGGGTAACCATCCGAATCTTTCTCGCCGTCCCAATCCGATACGTGAAGGAAATAATCTTTCCAAGCATCATGCCCCTTTGGTGCTTCCCTGCCCTGTACTTCCCTGCCCTGTACTTCCCTGCCCTGTATTTTCCCGTCCTGAACTTCCTCGTCCGGAGCTTCCTCGTCCGGAGTTTCCGCGTCCTGTTCCCCGTCCTGTGCTTCCCCGCCCTGTAATTCTTCGCCTTGTGTCCCATCGCCTTGTGTCTCCCCTTCTTGTTCTCCTCCTTCATTATCTTGTGTTCCACCGCCTCGTGTCCCCCCGTCTTGCTCTCCTCCTTCATTAATGTATCGTGCTCCGTTCATACCAATATCGTGTGTTTTTTTGTATTTCTGTTTGTGTGCTTCCCGCATCATGACTGTCCTCAGAATTATCTTGTTCAGTAAGCTTATTATGATTCTCGGTTGCCTGTTCCGTCATTTTATAATCAAGAAGTGATGGTTGGAAAAAGATGCAGTTGACAACAGTATTGGTTATTAATTGTTACAAAAGAGTATTCGGGTTTTGGCTTCCGATACTCCCTCTTATATTAACGATATCTTCCCATGTTCTCGTGCCCTCTTACGTCACATTTTCGGATTATCCCCACAGACGCTGGTAATCTTTGTCATTTGCAATCTCTTATTTAGTTCTTTCCCACTGTCTTGAGTGGGCATTTATACAAATGCACTATATGCTCGTTTTGGACATTTCTTGGTGTTACTCAATGACATCACGAAAAATTCTGATCATTTATTTGGTTAGCGTGGTATTTACATACAAACCCTAATGTAGATAAACTAACGTATGATTCATGTGATATCTAAAGTTACACTTAGTAGTGGGCATATTAATTCAATGAAACGATTTCCCCTCACAAACTTTCAACACTCGATCATTAAGGTCATGAACTGTAATATAACAGGAATGGATCGATCTGAGAAAGGTAGCCGTTATACGTACTATCATTACTGAGCGATGGTTGTAGGGAGTAAGGGGAAGTGGAGCGAATGTTGTGGCTAGAGTGGGAATGCGAGTGGGAATATGGGTGGGGATGGGAATAGCATGATTGTGGATCACCACCATTAATAGGAAAAGAGATATCAAGATAAGGATTATTGAAAATAAAATTACTTTTATCAATATTACTATCGATTATATTATAAGGATCATTAATACCACCACTTCTCCTTCTGCTCTTTCCTTGACCACCTTGCAGAGGCGTTTGAGTAGGGATAACGATTCCTAAATTATTCATATCGACTAACAGAGGCAGTTGTGCTAATTGAGAATATTGAGATGCTTGAGTAGACATAGATCCTGATGTTGTTACTGACGAACCGATTACTGGAGAACCCATCACTGGAGGAATGTATGAGGTCCAATTGGGGATGATATGATATTGTTGTGAACTGGGGAATAGTATCACATTGGGATTGACTTGCGCTTGAGTAGGGTTGACAGCTGTTTGTGTAGATATCAAATTATCATATGGAGCATGTTGAGATATGGATTGCTGTATTTGCTGCTGTTGGTGATAACGTAGAGAGGCTGATTGAGTGAGCGACAGCGGTTGTTCAGAGGCATTTGACGAAACGACGGCCGTATTTGTATGATGTCCGCTTTCCAAACCTTCTTGGTTGAGAGTTTCGGTTAACTTATTATCAGAGATTAAAGGTATTGCTAATTGGGATATTGTGTCATGCTTATTAGGGTTATTGCCATCTCCTCCATCTCCTTTCTTTCTTCTCTGCCTCTTATTTTTGGCACCTTTTTTTGGTTGATATTTGTAAGTTGGGTACATTATTTGATGTTTGTACTTGACGATCTCATACAAACACCTCCAGAAATGGTGTAGTTTCTTGTCTTTTACTACCTTCTTCCATCCCATGCTTGCCGTTTCTGAGTTCTTTGCTATTCCTCTCGACCCTCCCGTGTTAGTACCTGCATCCATTGACCTCGCCGATACATCTTTCCTGTACAGCATGAAGGTGTTTTGAGGTCGAGGTATTGATTTGGAACGGGGCTTTTTGGCGGATTCGATGAGTTCTTCAATGGATAGAGTTGTAGGGGGTTTGGGAAACAGTCTGTGGAGTTCACTGATCATTTGTCTCAAACCCTGAAGGGTAGGTACACTTTCGTGAGGCATTGATCGACCAATGTGTATTATATGACAACTTGTTATTGGGTGTTCGTATTGATACGTTGTGCGAAGGCTTATCAGTGATGGCAGTAGTATACTTTGCTATGATTGTGAATTTATATGTTGCTGATGGATAATTACGGCTTGCGCGCAATTATGACAAGTAGATAATATCATGATCATGAATGGACTGTTTTTCAAATTGTTGTTCCTCGGGAAACTGATGCTATTGGGGAATTTTATTTAATGTGGCCCAAGCACTTAATATTCGGTGTATCATAAATGTATTGTTATCTTTAACAACTGACCTCTGGAAAATCGTACCCAAATATAACAGTTCGATCGAACCATGCACCATAGCGGGTGATGTAATATTAATGATTGATCACTGTTAGCGGAATACAATCGGTACACAAATCATTAATATGTCGATATATTCTTGATCGTTCCGTCAATAGCCTCACCTTTGACAATAACGATGATTATGTTAGAATACACACAATAGTGCCTCTAATGTAGAAGACATTGGCCTGTTGTCTTGTGTGTTTTTGTATTATTGATACTCAAATTTTTTTTCGAACTATCCGAGTTCCCTGTCCGACAAACGTATTGTACCTAAAATACCGTCTTCTGATCAATACTTTAAGGTTACAGTGGTGCCTGCACTTATTTCATTACCATTGTACGCAAAGACTTTAACGTAAATGCGTAAATAAATATGCGATGAACACTAACACAAAAACCGTACAAATAATTTAGATTCTTTCTCAGGTCACGGATAAGCATCGCATCCTATCTTCAGTTGCCTACACTATAAAAGACTTGTATTATTTTACGATATCGTGCGCATCTTATGTCTGCAGAATTGACAGATAACGCTTAAAAAGAATAACCGTCAACGTAGTCGTTGTGGTAACAACACAAAACTGAACGTCTTTTTACGATCATTCGAGTACTTGCTCAAGGAACAAAGTCAATTATATGGGATACGGCAATAATAAATTATCAAGCAATATCCGAATACAGTCGCACCTCTATTTAAAAACCAAGTTGGGACCATAGTGATTTTTTGAAAAAAATGTTCTTATGAAGATGTGTTCTTTTATAAAGGTTTTTTTTTATAAGTTTAATAATAATTGGGTCTTTGATGCAATGTTCTTGTGAAGAGGTTTTTATATGACGTTTTTTTATAGAGGGTTCTTTTATGGAGGTGCGACTGTAGTCACTAATTTATACTTTCATAGGTAAAACGTCACGGTTTATGTTGTGCTTCACGTGATAATACTAAAAATTGTTTTGATATACCGGAATTTGTTAGTAACCTCTCGATAAAGCCTATACCTCGGATTGGAATGTAGTCTTAGGTAAACATTTTCGCTGAATGAGTACTGAACGTAGTCTTTTATTATTTTTAAAAGTTCTATCAAAGATATACACGATAAGCTGTAGAGGTCATCGAGTTGTTGTTAAAGTTGTCGTCTACAGCTAGTTCCAAATCCACGCGTCGTGTCTTTTCAAAGTAATCCGATGAACGGCCACATTATCTAAATTGGGGTGACAACTTCGTGGAAGACGAGGCTGACCGGTCAGCCGTCACAGTATTTTACCCAGATTCTCGAAGAGCTTAAGCGAGCGTCCTCCATAACTGTTCTAAATGGCATAATTTATAATAGTCAAGTCCACAACATGAGACTATTAATCAAGACACTGAAGTCCAGAAAGTTATCAAAATTTATTTGCCAAATATCGAAACGTGATAAAAGAACAAAATTTTTCATTTAACAAAATGGCCTTTGAAATTTATAAGTTGCTCGACGAACAGAAGGCCATTGCTGCATCTACAGTAAGGAAATTTTATCTTCGAAGAACAGCCCGCGGAAAAAGACTGTCGACGTTAAATTGACGAATGTAAACCGCTCAGATGAAGACGATAAAAATAAAAAATAGACGATAGTGATAATGTTGTTAACAGTAGCAATAGAGTGACCAAAAAAGGTTATGCTCTATTTTCTCCTATGCAATCACTCTGGTGCCTTTATTATTATTCATATTTCACAAGCGAGCGCATTCTACAATAAAAATATTAAAATTGTACTCACAAAATTGAATTTTTACATTGACTCTATTGTAATTGTGTCTAAATACGAATCATGCACTCGAGCAGTCTTTGTCAAACTAAACAATCTCTCGTTGATAGGTTGCTCGATCAGTAGTAGACGCCTTAGTGGGAAGCGTTTACATTACATTTACTTACATTCTTCAAGTTTTCGTTTTTTCCTTTGTTCATTGTAAGCTGGTGGTAATGTTTGGTTATTGTTTATTTTTCGTTCTTCTTGATAACTTCATAAGTAGTTTTTTCTTATCTGGATACTCCTGGAAAGTTTGGGTATCATTGATTTTAAAAACGCAATTGAATGCTTCTAATGGTGGTTGTGGATTGATGTAAATTAGTTTCATATTAATATTAATATTTAAACAGGTTGACATCTTTAGCATCAGTTAGAGCTAAATTTATATCTGAGCCACAGCTGTGCCACTAACACTAAAAGAGTCACTTGGTTTTGATACAGGGACGCAACAAGCACACAATCAATCTGGTCTCCAAATAAAGTTACGGCAGAATTGGTTATGAAGATGCAGTTATTTAACAAAGGGTTCAGAGCGACTTAAATCCAAGCTCCTGGAATGGGAATGTTTGATATAAGCTGATTGCTCACTCTTGGTCAACGGTGACACCTGAGGTGTCAGTTGACCTATTTAGGCTATGATATTCACAAAAAATAACGAGCGAGATATTAATATTGATGTAACTGTTTTATGACGTCGGTATGACGTTATTGTAGCGAGATCAAATCTAATCTCGACATTCGCCTGTTATTATTATGTGTCCATTGTCTAAACATTCCAACCATTGCCATTCACTACGAAATCGAATTAACGGCTACAAGGAGAGCATAGATGCAGTCTATGCGCTCATGCATTATTCAATTATTTACGTCCACAATCCACCCCGTAACAATATTATGTCAGAATCATGTCATTGGATAAATGTCACAACGCTTACAAGGGTCAAAGAAGTGCCTTCTTCATACAGTTAGGAAAACTACCTCTTACGGATTTTCGCCATCTGCCGTGACACGTAAATTGCAGCGATTCTACAGAGTATGGTCGCGTAAAATACATGTAAGAATTTAATGGATGACTTATTTATAAGAAAGAATTCTCCGTCTACTTTGCATCAGAAGACAACCAGTAGTCTATAACATTTCGACAATGCCTCTTTGGAAAGAGAAAGTCTTGAAACCGTTTCGTAGACTCAGTCAGAGAAGCAATAAGAAAGATAAATCAAAGCCAACTACTTCACATGCTAGTGTCGAGGCGGATGGAAAGGCAGAAGAGACTAAAATCTCTCACTCTCATGCCCGTTCTCGCTCTAACAGCTCAGCAAGTTCAAGTAAAGCTGAGGCAAGCCAGAATGCCGACCAACATGTCATCTCTAGACCAAGAAAGCCTGGTCAATGGACAACAGTTGCTGGTGGAGAGAAAGATCCTGTTGCGTATGTATCGATTGAATTGTTCAGAGAGAGGATGAACTATACTTAATTGACATTAGTATCTAACCGAATTCAAAATTGATAGCCAATGCGGCGTCGTTGTTCAAAAAGATGTCTTTAAAACCTGCCTTGATTTGACAGGTTAGCTGCAAATGGTTACTTTTAATTAGATGTTAGTCTTCGAATTTGAAAATAGCTTCAACGTTAACACACACAACTCCCCTTTTATTTTTCCTCGAAAATTTAGAATATGATTTCTCTCAAGTCGATAAACATGCACGTGGTACAAGCAAGGCAAATACAGTGCGGGAACTATCGAAACGTCTCACATCTCGCTGGAAAGGCAAGGAAATATATCAATTGCGAGCCATATATACCTGGATTGCCGAAAATATTTCATATGACGCTAACGCTTTCTTCTCTGGTAAATAAATCACTCTCAATTATGGTTATATCATTGGAACGTTTCGTTCAGATATGTTAATATTGTGTATGCACGATTTACAAAGGAAAACCTGGTAGTCAGAATGCCGACGATGTAATGAAAAAAGGCACTGCTGTTTGTGATGGGTATGCCGAGCTTTTTAAAGCGCTCGCTGAGGAGGCAGGATTGAATGTACGGAAGATTACTGGGAAGGCAAAGGGTATTTACTTTTACAGAATTACTCATTTTGCATTACATGACTACTTTACCTGTTTCAAATTTATTCACAAACTTCGCATTTCTCAACGATTTACTTTTGCTCGACAGGTGCTGGCTATAAGCCGGGCGACGATTTAGAAACTTCCCAATTAGAACATGCCTGGATTGGTGTATGTCTTGACGGCGAATATCTGCTCATTGATCCAACGTGGGGTGCTGGTACACTGAACGGCCGAACGTTCAATCGCCACTTCGATCCGTTCTACTTCCTGGCTAGTCCCCAACAGTTTATATATTCTCACCTCCCTGACGATGAGAATGAACAATACCTCAGCCCTCCAGTTACGCAGGAACTATTCATTAAACTGCCATTTGTTAAGCCGCCATTCTTTAGAAGCGGCCTCATGCTAGTCGAGTACGTTGGATCGGAAATAAAGGTTAAACACGACAAGTTTGAAATGGAAGTGGTAAGGTGTATTCCAGATGAGAGCAAACCATTGCATGCGGTGTTGGAATGGGAAGGAAAGAAAGTAAACTGTCTGGTTCAGAGGGTCGGTGCGAAAATTGGATCAGAAGGAGAGAGGTTTTATACCATTCGTTGCGAGATACCCAGCTCGGGAGAGGGAAAGTTAAACTTATTCGTACTGCTCGAAGGGAACAAGGTAACTGCAAAAGAATCAATATCTTTTTTTTCTCAGTACGACCGAATTGTGGCCGTCATGTAATGCTTTTGCTTACAATATGTTCTGCTATTGATATATAATTAGGGCCCCATTGCAGCTAGCTTTAAAGTTGTTAACCATGGCAATGGTTCGAGATCTCCGCCATATGTCCAAACTTTCTCTGTCCCATTCACCTTTACCATCTCCGAACCTATCTACTCTAAGCTTGCATACAATCGTAGAACCAAATTCGAACTTACAATATTTGACAAGGATGAAAATGAGTTACCCGAATTCGACTTGTTTACTCCTGATAAGGAAACAAGGAAATTACAGAAGATTTCCTGGTGTCCCGGAGACAAGAGTACGACATATGCAATAGACACTATACTGAATATTAAGGGTGAATGGGTTTTAGTGTATACCGAAGGTGGTAATTCTGTTAACTTTATTGCTCAATACGAAGTTGAGTAGGTAGGATTAGAGGTGATTGTGTATTATTAAATTATTACATCTCATTGTTTGTATGATTATATTATTATTATTTTCACTCGCATGTTGCATATAATCATTTATGAGAGAATGAATAAACATACAACTTCAAATTGAACTGCCCTTCCTATAGTCAAGCTTTTGGGAATAAGGCCTCAAACTCTGTATGATGTGCTTGGACTATAAGGAGGTTTGGTTGTATTAGATAACGCGAATACGATTAACGCAAAATTAAAAGCCATAGGCTTACGTTGTCTGTACTTTCTTTTTGAAACCTAAATACAATATTCATTAATATCAATAGATTGAATGTTTATAATTTCTTCAACCAGAAAGAAGCATCAATCTCTTTCCGCGTCCCATATTATCACTTCCCATTCATCGTAGCGTACTTTCACTTTTTGTTATCTACAAGTACTATCATCATCACAAGCCTAAAAACAACCAGCTCAGAGAAAGTAAGAGTTTATCACTTGTAGGTATAGACGGGATCCTATTGCTATCTTCGGTGACTGCATGAATAAGAACTGGGACGCGTACAATCACGCTTGTATATAGCATCGGGAACATTATTTTATTAATAGAGAGTATATACGGCATCCGGAAGTGAAGTAGGGAGAGAAGGAGGGGAAAGGTATCAAACCACAACGGACGTAAGAAACCTTCCCCCCCGAGAATTAAAACAAAAAAAGTCTATGACATTTCAAATCAAAGTACTTTACCAAGGATTTCATAATTAACGAGGTTGCCTCTGGCCCTTAGATACTTGCTAAGTGAGGTTTCATCAATATCATATGGATGATGTTAGAAAATTGATACTTTACAAGTAGCGTCATTACATTTGGTTGTTGCAATTGCTCTTTCGTTAAGTTGATTGAAATTAAAATTTCAAGGAGGGGATGGAAAGAAAATTACGCAGTATCAATCTCCACCCACTCTCCCAAGAACATCAAACCTTTCCACACAGTCAACACGTTTTTCTTCATTTCCCAATACCTTCCCAGATTTTCTAATATATTCATTAGAAATGTCCCAAGCCTTTTTCCACTCACTTCATCAATCATCTGAATTTCAAGACTGTACATATATCCTTGTCAATTAATTTCGCATGATCATCACAATAAAAAAAACCCATACCAATAAATAACTTCTATCTCAACATCCTCGTCTTCGTTATCGTCTAACCATAAGAACTGAAACAGTAAAAAGGGCGGGGGCAATCAACTTTTAAGGATTGGTTTTTGGGTTGCTGAACAGCACCTTTTTCGGGGCTTTGGGTAATGGTACCGGAATGAATTCTTTTCATGAGTTAATTTTAGCGCACATAACTCCACTTTGGAGTGGAGTGGCTCAATTGGAATGTCAGTCGCCGTTGAAATGCAATAATGTATCTTCCCTTTTGCGTCCTCTATGAATAAAATTCATCGATCATGTGATCAATTGCTGGGCATTTCTTCATCGAAAAATTATTAAGCGTAAAACAGTAATAAAACCATCATAATCAGTGGATGTAGTTCTAATATTAATTAACAAATCTAAATGTTACACAAAATTTTGTTTAGCCTTTAAAGTTGTTTATGAGCCAAGCATTTCATCAAGTTTTTTTTTGTCATCAAAAGAATAGCTTCCGAATTGGAAAAATATTTTAAAAATCATAACATTAAATAGGAAACTCACAAATTTCGAAAGAGTAAAGTAACCAGGCAGTGAGATTGTGGAAAAAATGCCTGCCAGATTGCTGAAACTCTTGGATTTTCACAACCATATAATTAAGTGAATACCACATTATGTCCCCCGCCCCAAAGTGGGATATAAAAGAGGTACTACTGTATTTTCGTATTGGAATTTGTCTAAAGAGGCTTTGGAGACGAATTGGCAGCATCCTATATTTACTAATCAATCGAAATTGTCGAAGATGATATAAGACGTGAAGAAATTAACAAAGGACTCATTTCAGAGCGAATTGAGAAATCGCCAGCGAGCTGCTTTTCAATGTAATGGTTCTTCACAAAATAAAAACAAGCTTGGGATATTCTGAAGTGAAACACACGGGCAATGAAGAAATGAAAGAGTCGGTGAAATTATACGGATGAAAGGCTTTATTAACACGAGGTTAATCAAAACATTATGGCGCCAACCTCAATAACACGGTGCAAACAATAAAGGAACGCAAAACTCCAACCTCAATAACGCATAAAAAAAATAAAGCTGAAAATCTTTCAACAAAACCACACTTTTACCCATTATCAACTCTTCCGAAAATTTTATTTATACAAATTTAGAAGGATAAATAAATTGCATAATTGAAATTATACATTCTCTAACAAATTCTAGAAAATTTATAGACTTTATAATCTTATAAGAGAGCGTCTGCATTGTCAATCTATCGCTTAAACTTGTGCAGTGCTTCGCTTCTATGTAACCATTCTGACAAACAAGTGACAGTCAACCTATTGCATCAAGGTAATTGAACCTGATGGACCTCATAATCGATAATAGCGTATTTTCCATCTAGTGACAACGATGGTTCATAATCTATCGGTGAGCACGAAACCATTTTCCCTTCGATATGTAGGTCACTACGTCCAAATTTTGGACTCGCTGCCGTTGGGTCAATCGCAAAGTTTGAATCAATTATACGGGCCCTTTGAGGTATACTGTCCAATTGAAACATGAATATAAAACTGCTCGACGTCTTATTAAATCCTCCAGGAATATCGAAAAGACCAAATTGAGGATGTAAAGCAGGTTTAAAAGATGAAACTTGTGGCATAGGCGGCGGTAATCGAACCACGGGTGGTCTGTAGTATTGTCCCGAATTTCTTTGTGGCTGTGGTTGAAACAAAGGCGGTCCGACCGGTGGCGTAACTGTTGCTAAAGGACTTATTCGAGGTTGGGATGATGTGGATGCTATTGGTCTTCTTGGAAGAGCCGGTGTTCTTTGCTCATCTGGAGAAGTTGCGCTCGTCTGCTGTTCTACATCCCACGTTACGGGATTGTATCCTCCCAAGATAATAGGCGCATCACGAACCTTAATCAGTACAAGTGTCTTCTCCTTGCCTTGACACTTCTGGCGAAAGGTGTCCCATCCATCTCGATCTGCCTTAAATATTAATTTAAAATCCGGAAGTGTATCAGGGGTCGAACTTTCTCGATCCATAATCCACCTATAAACGTAACTAATTTGTTCGCCAACAATAAATGTGGTATTTAAATGCCGGCGTCGTGGTTGAACCAAAATGGCTTTGGACGCTTTCCTCGCTCGAAGAAAATGGTTAACGATTTCTTCATCCAAGTCGTTTGGGAGGAGCCATTTATATGGTTCTCTCACTTTCAGAGCGTACTCTGCTGAAGTCATCTATTTAGTTATAATGAATGTCAGGTCATATAATTGAATATAATACCATAAACAATTAACAATGAACAGATACTTACTCTGCAAAACCTAACATGATTAATACATTTTTCTAACTTCGTTCGGAGCGTTTCTTTATATATGCTCAAATCGTTATCGCTGTCTTCTGATACACTTTTACCCCATTTAATTAGCGCTTCCCAAATGTCCACCTCTCTCATTACGAGATCATCTCTTTCTAGTAGACTAATTAATGAATTTTCTTTCACATCAACAAAGTCTGTAGATTGGAAAAACTTTTCGGGTTCCTGACAAATGATTTTTTCTATATATTCTTTTATAAGGGATAAGTTATCATTTGTTGAGGCCATTTCTAAAGTTTTAACAGGATTTTTATCAATCCAATTTGTATAATTTTCAACGAAGAATTTTTGAACAACTTCAAGGGGAGCATAAAGTTGCATTTCGTCAAGTGCTAAAATGATTGAAAAAATTGTCTCTGGGTTTTCTTGCGACACATCTATGGTGCCAACGTACAAATATCTATTGAACGTGTACAACGTTAATGAAAGACACGGAACAAAGATACATTACAGAAAGCAAACACTCTTCAACATACTTGAGCACGGCATCAAATGCGCGAGAAGTTATGTTTGGCTTTGAATATCTGTAATAGTCTCCCTCCTTTTTCGCCCAATTGAAGGATAAAGCAACTCTAAAATATTCGGATCTTGTCTTGAGAATGATCGAATGGGCCAGACATTGTGTTTTATCCGATCCTTCCCCAACATCAATGATTACATCGTAATCATCTTTTGAAGTGTATAGACG